TTGATACCAAATCTTTATATTTGTGTAAGTGTTTGCACCCGGTGTTCATAGCGTTGGGGTTATGTGTTCATATATTTTATACGATATGAACAAGGGGTGAACACGATATGAACAATGGGTGAACACGATATGAACAAGGGGTGAACAACCACATAAGACCAGAAACATATATGAACAAGGGGTGAACCTTAAACAGTGTGGATGCAATGCATTTATAAAACTCCAATTGACAAAGGATCACTCCTGAATGTGTTTATAATGAAGAAACTATTGTTCAGAAGTTGTTTATATGTGTTCATACCTTTTTTATTTATTTATTTCCTTTCGTATAGCAATTATTGTTATTATGTTCTTATTGTGTTCATAAATGCTATGCAGTCCAAGTTCATATATATGTCAAAATTTTGTTCGTATTTAACACAATGGTTCATATATATATAGTTGTGTTCATATGGTTCTTACATTAACAAAAATAAATTAACAAAAATCATAGAATTTTTTGATTTTGTAACTCCCAATTAATGATATGGGAGTTACATAATTTTTTTTTACCTAAATACTCTTTTCAACTTTGTTCATTTATCTTTATGAAATTTTAAATTTAACAAAATAATTTTTTATCATGATTAATCACAACCGTTTATTGAAAGATTGAATGGCCAAGATCGGTTAACAAAGTTAACACAAAAACTTTGGTTAACATTTGAACCTGACTATATATATATATATATATATATATATAGGTCTAATCAAATGAGAACTAATTAGTTTTGTAGTAACCTTGAGATCCAATCTCAACCACAAATCAATAGATAAAATATGAAATTTATAATTTTGGTAAATTTTAATTAAAATTTTAATGCAAGGACATTTTAGGTATTTTCTCTCATCTCTCCTATCTCCTCTCTTCTCTCTCCGTCTCCAAGCCTCCGTCCCCCGGCCTCCACCTACCGTCCTCCGGTGATACCATAGTGGTATCACAATACATCTTATATGTGATTGAGTATCACAATGTGGTCATTTGTATGGTCGATCGGATATGTAACACAGTGGTATCACAATGCATCTTATATGTGATTGGGTATCACACTGAGGTCGTTTGTGTGGTCGATCGGATATGTAACACAGTGGTATCACAATGCATCTTATATGTGCTTGAGTATCACAATGTGGTCATTTGTGTGGTTGATCGGATATGTAACACAGTGGTATCACAATGCATCTTATATGTGCTTGAGTATCACAATGTGGTCATTTGTGTGGTCGATCAGATATGTAACA